GCTGCCAACCTCATGATCCATGGTACCCAGAAAGAACCAACTCCCTGACCTCTACATGTATATTGTTGCACGCACAGACACACACACCATACCACACACACAGACACACTACACCACACACACACACACACATACACCACACTATACCACACACACACACCACACCATATCACACCACACCACACACACATACCACACACCACACCACACACACACATATACCACACTACAACACACACACACACACCACATCACACCATACACATACACACATACCACACCACACCACACACACACCACACCATACACACACCACACCACACCACACCCCCCCCACACACACCACACCACACACACACACACACACACACACACACACACACACACACACCACAAAAGAAGAAAGAGAAAGAAAGCAATTTGCTCCTCCCACTTGCTTTAGGCAGGGCAGATGAAGCAATTGGAATTGAAGGCCCCTCCCTCACGCCCTTCTTATTTCTTGTGTGGAGTCCATTTGTCTATTTTTCTTCCCCAGTAGTAATGTATTGTGGTGAGTGGTATTAATAGGATGAGCCTAATTCTTGGTAGCTTCCTATTACCCTAGGAATTCCATATCTGATGAATGCCACCTTTAAAAACTTCATTCTTGGGGGCTGGAGGTGGCTCAGTGGTTAAGAGCACTGGCTCCAGAGGACCTATGCTCAACTCCCAGCACCCACATGGTGGCTTACAACCAACCATCTGTAACTCCAGTTCCAGGAGATCCAACTCCCTCTTCTGGCTTCAGAGGACACTGAACTCTTGGTGTGCAGACATACACGCAGGCAAAACACCCATGCACAGAGAATGTTTTAAAAATTAAAAAAAAATTATTCTCACATGGTGTGTTTCATCTTGGACTGGACTATTTATTCCTGGAAGTTTATCTCAACAGATCCATGCCTGGCCTTGTCTAACCTGGAAGTTACCTGAAATTGATATAAGAATTAGAAATAATGAGGCTGGAGACTGAAGTTTGCTTTAAATCCACAAGCCTGAAGCTCACCTGGCACTTCTTTAGATCAGAGGTTTCATGCAAACTTCCCACTCCCCTACAACCCGGCCCCCCTCACTCCCACACACAATAGATCCCAGTACGAATCCAGACTGCTTACAGGGCCAGCTGTACTGGTCTAAACCTATCTCAACCCAAACTCAGGCGGTGATCTCACGTCACGCTCCTGATTCAGGGAAAGGTAGAATGCTATTGTCTGATGGTTACATTTGTTCTCTGGATCTCAAGGGCTGCCATTTGTGCATTTTTGTGTATTTCACTGTGAAGGGGGGCTCATCTGCACATGGGGGCCTTGGTGACTAGTTCCAAGGACTCCAGTAAAGGACTTGAGCAAGAATCCCACCTGCGGCCTCACTGGCGGCAGTGACTTCTCCCAGCACCTCTACCACACTCTTGTTCCCAACAGAACGTGTTTGTACAACTGTCCTTGGCCTTTAGAAATGACAGCTACACCTTGGAATCTAGAATTAACCAGGCTGAAAGGGAACGCAACCTGACGGAAGAGAACACTGAGAAGGAACTGGAAAACTTCAAAGCTTCCATTACGGTAATTGAGGGGCCTAGTTTAAGGAGTCCTTACAGAGCCGCTGTCTCCAAGGGGGAGGCCCAATATCACACTTCTCTCGCTAAGCAGTAGCGGAAGTCATCTCTGGAAAGGAGAAGGGAGCCACAGTCCTGACAGAGCCTTCTGCAAAGGACAAGGAGTAGCTGAGATAAGATCCTGAGGGTTTGGGCAGCTCCTTAGGAGGGGGCTGGTTGGCTTGGATAGGACTCCTTTGAGACCAGCCAGATGTAGTGTGTCTCCACTGGGCTTCTCCAGTATCTGGAAGACACCGTGGCCTGGGCTCTGTCAGAGATTCTTCTCCTAGCCAGGGTGAGAGACCGAGGGCTTTTTCCTGAAAATGAATCCAGCTTTGGCATGCATCGGTCAGCTCAAGATGCTATAGTAAATTACCATTGGCCTGGGTGGTTTAAACAACAAACATGTTGTTTCTCTTAACTCTAGAGGCTAGAAGTCCAAGCTTAGGGTTCTAGTGTGGTCAGGTCCTTACTAAAGCCTCTCATGATAGCCTGACATGGTGGAAAGAGAATAAGAGAAATTTCTGGGGCCCCTGATGTGTGAGCACCGCTCCTGTTCACAAGGACTCTGCCCTTGGGATGGCGTCACTTCCCAAGGACCCATTGTCCCCCCTGGGCATTGCAGTTAGGTTCTCAGCATGCACATGTGGAAAAACAGTTTGGAAACTCTGGGTGATGCCCCTTGTCATCCCTCAGTCCTCAGCATCCATCTGGCACCACTGTGAGCATCGAGAGACATATCAGAAGCTTCTGGAAGACATCGCGGTCTTGCATCGTCTGGCTGCCCGCCTCTCCAGCCGGGCTGAAGTGGTTGGGGCTGTGCGCCAGGTGAGCCCTCCAGCCCGGGGCCTTGCTGGCTGACACTGTTCCAACTGTAGTCAGTAGCACCGTGACCCAAACAGGGACAAGAAGAGGCACCACCCCTCAATGACCGGCTTAGGCCAGGCATTCTGTATAGGTTGTTGAGAAATTCCAACATAGTTGGTGCTTACTAACCCTTCCAAGTATTCCTTGGGGGATTGTTTTCTGTGGACTTGGAAATTTGTGGTGGACTATGTGCTTCTTTCTTCCCTTAGAGCTGGTCCTCCATAGTTAAGTTAGAGAATTCCCTATGAACGAAGTCTATTTAGCTTTTCCTGTGTGTTTTGTGAATCTATGTGACTGGGAGCTCCTCTCTCGTCATTGTTCTCATAAAATGCATCCTCAGCTCCTGCAGAACCAGTGTTGGGCAGCGCATGCTTCAGGGGAAAGTGCTGTTTCCTTCAACCCACCCAGTGACCCCGTAAAGTGGCCTCCATCCCCCATCTCTGTCCCAATGAAGTTGCATATTCCCAGAAAGATAGCTTCCACACAGGAGAAAATCCCAAGTAGGACAAATGTTTTGAGTGTCTCTATCATGTCACAAGTGGAAAACAACTAATTTTCTATGACAAGACACAGACAAAATGCATTAAAAATGTGTAAAACTATCTCTGGGCAACACGTGTAATAAGATGAATAATGTATTCAGACTCGGGTCCTACTCCCAAGATACTTCATTGTGTATGTGCAATATTCCCAAACCTGACAGAGCCCCAAACACTTTCAGTAAGTGTTTTGGGTCAGGGACAGGAAGCCAACACATTGGTGGGTGGCAGAGCTGGGCGCTGGCTTAGATTAGACTCCACACCTTGGCCACTCTGAAGTCTTGAAGCACATGGGGCCTCCGTACAACGTTGCAGGGCCCGCTGCCTGAGTTCCCCTCCAGGCTGTCTCCCTCATTCACACTGTGGCCTCCGACTTCACAGAGCTCTCTGCATTTGAGAGTCACTCTGGGCTGTAAACAAGGGGTGCTTACGACGTCTGCCGTGTAGGACTGACGCAATGCATGTAGCTCCCCTGTAACGCTGTTGTAACCATGTCCTGCCACATTGTGTGTGAGTGGATGTTCTGAGGGTGTGTCCCCAAACACTGCCTGTGAAATGAAAGGCAGCCAAGCCGCCAGGCTGACCCACCCTTTGTCTTTCTACAGAAAGAGCGCCTGACTCAGCAGTGTGACCTAGGAAGTAGTCCAGCTGGGGGCAACACCAGAAGGATGCTAGGGAAGTGGCAGGTCTCAGCCCCACATGGGTGTGGGGACCTTTAGAGGAAACCCCTTAGTATAGACAGTGCCTAAGCTAAGTCCTCTTGGGGACCCTAGGGAGTATGGGGGAAGAAAGGACACCTCCAATGTATGGGACCCTTCCAAATATGTTTCTGGTTCCCCATGTTATAGATTCTATTTTCACCCCCTTTTCTTTGTTTTTACTTATTTATTTTTAAAGTTGTGTTTTTATACGTGTATGGGTATTTTGCCTGCATGTATATCTGTGCACCGTGTGTATGCCTGGTGCCAGCAAAAGCCAGATGAGGGCATTGGATCCCCTGGGGAATCCCTGTCCGGAACTGGAGTTACAGACAGTTATGAACTACCATGTGGGTGCCAGGAATCGAACCCTAGTCTTCTAGAAGTGCAGCCAGTGATCTTAACCACTGAGCTGTCTCTCCAGCCCCTACTGATTTATTTTTGAGAAAGGATTTCAGTATGTAGTCTAGGCTGGCCTCAAACTCGTGACCCTAAGGTACAGATGTGCACCACCATGCCTGACTCGTATCCTTCTTTAAGTGGTCCTCCACCCTGCCTCATGGTCCCCCATCCTGCTGTCTGTGTCCTCACTGGTTCCTTTGGAGCAGCTCGGACACTTGTTCCCCATTGCTGTCCCTGCCACCAGTCTCACTCCTGTCCCGTCTCCACTCACACACGGTCACCCCTCACTTTAACACATCCAGTAATTCCTCTTTTTCTGCAGAGGAAGTCAAGATTCCTTCATCTGGCATGTTAAGTTCTTCACGACCCAGCCCTCGAGCACTTCCTCCCAGCAAACCCAAGGGCTTCTTGCCCTTTTTTTGTTTTATATGAAGTGGGATGTCTGTGCTATGCTGACTTGCAGAAGCCCTTGGATAGATTCCGTGTCCCAGCATACTGTGGAATGGTGCCCACTGTCATTCTAGAAGATTCCTGTCTGGAGGATAAACCTTCTACATACAAGTCCTATGAGGAACTGCCTCTGCCTCTGGACGCCTTGAAGTTCCCTGGCCTTGGACCTTTGTCTGTCCTGCCCATGTCCATGTGCCCACACCCCACATCTGTGCTCCAGGCCATCTCCACAAAGCCATCCCCACCTGTTCTCTCCTAGAGTAAAGTAATCCCTCCCTCCTCTCACTTCCACAGTGTGTGGCTGCCTTTCTCCTCCCTGGACACAGGTACCAGTCCACCTTTAGCCCAGTGCCACAGACAACAGACACCCAGGACAGACTCCCATCTGATGACCCCGTATCCTCTCTACTCTGGCAGCCCAGGACTGAGCTCAGAGCGGTCAAGTGTGGACGGTGCCCTTTCTTCAGCTGTTCCTGTGTGTCCTCTTCCCTGCAGGAAAAGCGTATGTCGAAGGCAACGGAGGTCATGATGCAGTATGTGGAGAACCTGAAGAGAACATACGAGAAGGACCATGCTGAGCTCATGGAATTTAAGAAACTTGCAAATCAGAATTCAAGCCGCAGCTGTGGTCCCTCTGGTAAGGAACTGGGCTTCTGTCCTTGTTGTGAGATCAGGTCCCCAATGGCTTTCAGCCCACGCCACAGAAATCAGGACAGCTGTAGGGGCTGTTTCTGACTGGAGGACACTTCGCACTTCTGTCCGGAGCTGCTCATGGGACCTTTACATCAGCTGCTCCAGTGAGACTGGGGTCCTAGCATCAGAAAGCATGAAGGGTACCAGGGACCTCCCAGCTCCTGACAGTTAACCAAAGTGGCTGATGGCAGACACCATGCCCGCTTTGTGAGTGACCCACGCCCCATAAGTCTTTGTGGTTTGGGCATTACCGGCTAAGAAATCTGGGTTTTATTCTGGAAAGCACCAGGGATTCAAGGATTTCCTTCAGGGAAGTGGATGAGCATGTTCCTGCTGAAGCAGCATCCTTGAAGTGTAGTACATCAGTTACAGAACTGGAGCAAATCAGCATTCTTAGTCCAGACTGGCCTCAGACTCATGAGACTGCTTATTTCATTGTGTCCAGCGGAAATGTTCAAGCATTTCAGTCAAAGGATGTTTAAGTTTTCCAGTCACCCAAAAGAGCAGAGCCAGAAAATATTCTGTGTTTGTGAGGATATTGCACCAGTCCAGGGGAGGGAGGGAGTCCGGGCGGCGGGGCACAATGAGAGTCTAGCTAGGTGAGCTATTGTGGAGACAAACACAGATGTGGCGTGGGTAAGACACATACTCCAGCGATTCTTTTCTTAATGTCTTAAAAGTTCCATGCAAATGGGTGTAAGGAGACAGAGAAAGGCCACCTGATTCTGCTCAAGGGAGTCAAGGATGGATACATCGAGGGAGGTCATCTCTGCAGGGCTTTACAGTAAAAATGGGAGGAGGAAGTCAGCAAACGGGTGGAGGAAGCAGGGTGTGTAAAGGTGTGGAGGTGGGGGATGGGAACAGGATGAAATGACCTGTGTGGCTGGGGTAACATTGAGAGGCTGAACATAAGACCTGGCAGACCAAGGCCATCTTCCAGGACACACTAGCAACTAGGCCTTTGTCTGGTAGGAACAGGGAGTTGGTAGGGAGCATGTCACATGACATGTCCACATTTTCTTTTTGTGCTACTCTGACTTCGGCAAGCGCAATGCATTAGTAGGGGTCAAAGCTGAAGTAGGGAAGGGTGAGCTCAGAAGCTCTTGCTCAGCCCAGCAGGGAAATGACAGTGCATTGGACTGGAATCTCTCCCTGGGTGCTGCCAGGGCTTGGAGTCTGGTCCAGGAGGGTGGATAGCTGGAGAAAACAGCTTGTCACACCAGGAATCCCTGTGGAATGCAAACATCCGTGTTACTAAGAGCAGGCGGAGGGAAAGTATAACAGACTGAGAAACCTTTATAAACAGGAGGTTTCACAAGCTTCCTGGGGAGTATTGGTGACACTTCCCAGAGTCCAAAGGCCATGGACACATGCTCAGGGCTGTCTGCTTTGGATTTCAGGGCCAGGTTCCTAACCCACAGGTATCTGGGCCCCTAACAAACTGTTCTTGGCTACAAATGGCAAGGTGATTCCAAGAAAATCCTAGTATGTTGGTTTGATAATTATTTCTCTACAAGGTTCAGATCTCCTGCAAACCAATGTATCTAGAATTTATGGGGTGAAGTCAGTGTCATCACAGCAGATGCTAATAATGCCAGCACTTGGGAGGCAAAGGCAGGAGTTCGAGGCCAGCCTGGACTGTAGAACAAGAACCTGTCTAAAACAAAACCCAAAGCTGGGTGGCAGTGGCGCACGTCTTTAATCCCAGCACTCGGGAGGCAGAGCCAGGTGGATCTCTGTGAGTTCGAGGCCAGCCTGGTCTACAGTGCAAGATCCAGGACAGGCTTCAAAACTACAAAGAGAAACCCTGTCTTGAAAAACAAACAAAAAACAAAAAACTAAGCAAACAAAAAAACCCGAAATGCTCTACGGGGTGACCAGTACCCAGGGGTCTCATTCATTCATTCTGGGATGTTTTTTTGAGTACTTTTGGTTTGCCCAACATGACATAGCCCCATTCCTAGTGACAACAAAAGTGAGCAGACTTCCTGGGCTGGGGAGGGGCTCAGCAGGGAAAGTGCCTGCCCTGTAAGCCTGAGGACCTGAGCTCAGAGCCCTGGCTTCCATGTGAAAAAGCTGGAGGCAGCCAAACTGATCTGTAACCCCGGTGCTGGGGAGGAAGGGACAAGCGGGTCCCCAAAGCTTGCTGACTAGCTAGTCTAGCAAATAGGAATGCATCAGGCTCAGTGAGAGACCCTGTCTCGACAAATAAGGTAGAGAGCAATCAAGAAAGACACTCTGGCTTCTATCTGCACACGTTCCCTCACATACACTTGCACTTAGCCACCCAAACATGAACATCCACCCACCGAGAAATACAGCAAACAGATTTCTGGATTGAGGTGGACCCTGCAGAGTCCCACAGTCCAGTCTGGGGTGGGGTGGGGGAAGCTGAGAAAATGCCAGCAAAAGGAAAGGACTCGAGAGCAAGTCTTGTCTAAAGAATCACGGTTGGAGATATGTGGTGCCCCTTCGATTGTTTTTCCAAGCTCTACCCCGCTGTGGCTGCTTTGGAGAGCCCAGCACCAGTGAATCTGTGTGTCAGCAGGTTATGTCTCTGCGATGTGCCATGGCCACTCTCTAATAGCATGCTTCTAAAAAGCCTTTACATGCCTTCTGTCTATGGCTGAGACTGTGAAGACTAGAATGAAATAAAATATCCCCTGATTAAAAAGTAAGTTGCTCATTTAAAAAAAAAGAAACATTTTTGGAGCCAGGTGGTGGTGGTGCACGTCTTTAATACCAGCACTCGGGAGGCAGAGGCAGGCGGATCTCTGTGAGTTTGAGACTAGCCTGGTCTACAGAGTGAGTTTTAGGATACCCAAGGTACCAAAAAATCCTGTCTCAAAAAAAAAATTTTTTTTAACATGCAGCATGCTGACTATCAGCATTTTGGACAGACTTCTAGAAATATAAATACTAGCTGAATGAGGGGGGTTACTTGTAGAGAGGAAGGGGCCCAGTGGGCAAAGGACAGGGAAGGCAGCAGGGTGGGCAGACATGAGCCCAGTGCAATGACATGCATGTGTGAAAATGCCATGATGAAACATGCTCTTTTGTTTGCTAACTAAAAATCTAATGAAAATAAAAACATTACTACGTCAGGGGAAAGAAATGTTTATAAATTCCTTAAATTATTTTCAGGTAATCCATTGACATAGTCACTTAGTGGGGTACTATAACACTTGATTCATTGTATACCGAGCACCAAACTTGTTCTTTCTTCTGAAACGTGTTGATGATTTTATAGTCATAAGTTGTTTTATCTCATAGTTTTAATCCATAGTTTGATGCTTTTCCATGCGTTTGTTAGGCATTTATTTATACTTCTATACATTTATACAATCTATTGTAAATTCTCCAATTATCCCACCCGCAAGATTGGAATTTTATTCACCTATTTGAACTCCCACTTATTATAGAGAATGTTTTCTGGTTCTGCTCTTTGGAGTGACCAGAAAACTTAAAAAAAAAAAAAATACTTTAACTGAAATGCTTACAACTTCCTGCTGGACAAAATAAAACAAGTCGTCTAAAAGAACAGCTGAGTCCACAAGAAAGGAAATAGAAATAGCCAGAAACAAGAGGAGAACTGAAACCGTGCTGACCCTGAGGCGTGCTGGGGCCAGAGCTGCCCTGCCTCTCTGGAACGAAGTGTTTGCCGTCAGGACTATCTGAGAGCAGCCTCTGAACCCCGTGGCAGAGCCGACGCTGCTTCACGTAGAAAGCCCAGACCCTCTAGGGACTGCCTGGAGGTAGAGTCTATACAAGGAATAAGAATGCTCACCCACCAGCCAGCAGAGAAGCAAACACGGAGGCTTGCCTGTTTCGCCCTGCACCCTGGGTGGACGCAGAATCTTCCCTCCTTCCTCACAGGAAAAGTGTGCGTGGTTGCAGCAGCGCTGCAAGCTGTGGAGACTCTGAAAGGACAGTGGAATGGCGACGGCTCCAGGAATACTGTCAGCCGCTGCCGCAGAGAGAGGCACACTCTGCCTCGGGACACAGGCACAATGTCAAACACACAGTGAAACAGGCCACTGGGAACACAAATCGTTAGACCCACCGAATGTAAGACCCCACTCCAAGAACATCAAATAATAAAGTAACCAGGATTTTAAAATCAGCAGAGACATGGAAAGGCAGATTGAAAACACAAGATCAAATAGTAGTTATAAAAAAAAATTAGAACTCCTCAAAATGAGAAGTCAGGGATGTGGAGACTTGGTAGGTGTGGGGGGTGTGGTAGCCATGGTAGAGGGGGTCTCTCAGTCTTCTGAGATCCTCCCTGTCTTATTTTCCATCCCCTAGAAGATAGACTCGGCCTTGTGGAGGGCTTTGTGGGCGAGCCAAGTCACATCCGGCCTGAACACCATAAGAACTAGTGTGCACATACGTGGCTCTGGCTTTCTTCCTCCCACTCTGATGAATGCCAGTCTCCCGGAATATTAACCTGTTCATCTTGACTGCGAGACTTGAGATAGTTATCCAAGATGCAGTTGAAATGGACACAGTGATTAAAACATGAACGAAGGTTTTGGGGACATGGGGTATGGAGGAGAGCCTACAGTCCAGAGCCAGGTGGTCCCTAAGGGGAAAATTAGGCACAGAAAATCTTCAGGGAAATAACCTAGCATCTACCACAGCTATAGAAAGACACAAATCACTGGATTTGGTAGTATAATGAAGTCTATGGAAAAAATAAATACACATGAAATGGAAATGTCAAAAAGGATAAAATAAGGAGTGGGGAGATGGCCCGGTATGTAAAGCACTTGTGCAAGCAAGAGGACCCGAGTTGGGATCCCCAGCACCCCTCAAGTATGTGGTGCAGACCTCTAACTCCAGTCCTGAGGAATTGGAGAGCGGAAAATCCCTGGACCTCTCTGGCCAGCCAGTCTAGCTGAAACAGCAAGATCCAGCTTCAGTGAGAAATCTTACCTTAAAAAATATAAGGTTGACAGAGATAGAAAAAGATGTCCAAGCCGGGCGGTGGTGGTACACGCCTTTAATCCCAGTACTCGGGAGGCTGAGGCAGGCGGATCTCTGTGAGTTCGAGGCCAGCCTGGGCTACAGAGTGAGTTCCAGGAAAGGCGCAAAGCTACACAGAGAAACCCTGTCTC